GTTGACAAAGTGTGTGTTGGCAAGATCAAAGCCAATGTATTTTATTGCTTTCAAAAACTGTTTTTGAATTGAGTGGTCTTGATTTTGGCAACAACTACTTTGTTAGTCTTTTTTGTAAACCTACTTTGTAATCATAGCATCACTCTAAGTATAATAGCCTACCAACAAGTCAACGATAGCTAGAAGGATCTTCATACAAGTTTGAATCAGATGCAGAAAGTTTAAAAGTATATGGAGAAAGCAGCTGGTTTGGAACCAAGAAAACCAGTGTCTTGAAGGATATCAAGGGCGTATTTCCTTTAGCATAAAGAGATGCCAGTTCTTGACCTTGCAACCGCTAATCCAAGAAAATATTTGTGCTGGCCAAGATCTTGGATAGTGAACTTATCATGTAAAAAGGACATTAATTTCTGGATTTTAAAAAATGTTAAATTATGGTAAAAAGGACATCAATTTCTGGACATCAACTTTTCATTCTTTTTTATTTCCATGTTGTCATTATGAGATGCAAGACTCCAACAGTTTCCGTACACTATGCTGTGTGGGATCTTTCCGACGAATAGAAGGCTTTATCCGGATTTCAGGCTCATATGGGGAGGTTAAGAGTAGGGTCACTTGATTCCTTTTATTTATTTTTTATTATTATTATTATTATTTTGGATATCCAAGTATCATCTTACAGTGACTAAATCCTGAAATCTACACCTTGGCCCTTCAAGCTGCAGACAGATTAAGAGTAGGGTCACTTGATTCTTTATTAGAAGAGGAGGGAGATGATTCTTGAGTTTCATTCTTTTACGTTGTTAGTAATTTATATTACAAGATGTTCTTGTAAGTGGCGAAAAAGCCCATTTGTAGCTATAAATCCTTCCTCGTAATTTGACTAGTTTTAGAAGTTCAATCCCTTTGCCATTGGAGATACAGGACACTCCTTTCAAATGAATATACTATGGCCAAGAAAGTCGATTCTTAGAAAGTAAGATGGAGGGAGGTCATGGATCAATCTATATGCCATCCAACTCCATTGACCCCTCATAGTGTAATTTACAGTATTCGTAGAGCAATTGAATCCAATATTTTACATAAATTGGATTCATATGGTTCTCCTACGTGTTTTACTTGGTTCGAGGCAGCGTAGTCTTGTTTCTGTTGAAAATTATAAACCTTAAGAGCAATCAATTTAAATAAAGTAAATAAGCAATCAAGAACACGCAAGATTTATAGAGGTTCGCATCAATGTGAAATTATGTCTTCTCTAGTCGCTATAGTAATTCACTACAATGAAAAAAATTTACAAGAGAATGTCAATCCTATCACTTCTAACCTCTTTTTCTCTCTATTTGATTATAATACAATTAAGTCTAAAAACTGGTTCCTATTTATAAGATAAATTAGGACAAATTCAAATTTTACAAGAATTCCTATTTCTTCATAGAATTTTATATGAATACAAGTTTCTAAACAATCCTTAATTAAAATTTTTGTCCAGGAGGGAGCCACTGCCCCCTTCCAACCTACATGACGACTCAGCATTAATTAAATTTCACGATTTAACGGTTTCTTTTCTTTCTTATCATAAAATATATATGTTATGATTTCTTTTATTAAGTTACACATATTTCTGATATTGTCGGGGCCCGAGGCGAAGTACAAAAATTAGGCTCCAAATATCAACGTAACTGCAAAATTCAATGGTTTATTATGCAACATATTATTAACTTAAAACTTAACATTAAAACAATAAACAAATATATCAATCATCTCATAATTAATGAAAAAACTATTTTCTTTTTCCTTCTTTTAATATTTTAAAAAAAAAACTTTTGGGCCAAAATAGGCCCTCTATGGTTTTGGGCCTGAGGCACAGATCTCATTTGCCTCTGCTCAAGACCGGCATTGGATGTCAATTACAAAGATAGAAGGAGTTCGAAGAGAGGTAGAAAGAGTAGAATAGAGAGAGAATGGAGGGTTTGAAATTGCTTCGATGATTTTTATGATCTGGTGAAGACGATGATGACATTGGAGATCTTCAAAGTGCACATTGTAGCGACGAGAGACGATGGTCTTCTGGCAACGGTGGTGTTCCAATGTGAGGGAGAGGAAAGGAAGAAGTGATGATTATGATTTGGATAGTGGTGGGTGGGATAGGCATTGTGCACATAAAATAATTTATAGTATTATCTATTATTATTATTAAGATCCCTTTTGGGCCCTGTCAAATTTATAATATATTTTTATTTCTTCTTTTTAACTATACATTTTTCAATAAAATAATATTATAACATCAAATAATGGGATCAAATGGGGACTGAATGTGAAATTATCTCTTAAACTTGATTTTTGGAATTGGAACTTAAAAAATTTGTTTACATGTAATTTTCACTTTAAATAACCCAAAGTCCCCATTTGAGTCCAATTTTCTATGTCTCAATTTTTTCAATAAAATAATTTTACATGTAATTTCAAAATTTTCTGTAAATTATTAATTATACTTTTTTAAAAAATCACTATTTCAGAACTTATTTTAACAATAAAAGGGACTCAAACAGGGACCAATTGTTACCCAGCTTACTACCATTTGCATCAATTTCTCAAACCTGACACAGGAATTGAGCAAGAAAATTTCTTCATTAAATTTACACTTTAATTAGAACTAATCAATAAATAATCATATACTTTATTGCTATCAAAAAAACATGGGCGGGGAACCAATCATCTGCTTCGCAGAGTCCTTACACCACTCTTCATCGACCTATTCTTGATTATTCCTCTCCTCAACCTCCTTGCTTCAGCAAATCTGGCACGTTTATCAGCAAGATCTTTGTTCACATAGGTTGGTTCCATCCCAAAAGCCTCTTCAGGAGATAGATTCAGATCAGGTAATCCAACTGGGCCCACCTGATTAATATGGCACAATCCATTACTGGATGGGTAGTGAATTTTTTCACTTATTTGTTTTGATGGTCCAGAGGCCGTCTGATCTAAATTGACCGGCTGTTGATGAGCCACGGCCGTAATTTGATAATGTTGGGCTAAATGCATCTCAAAATTCAAGAATTTGCTCATTCCCATATGGGAATAGGATCCTTCGTTTATAAGGCAAGTTGTTAGTGCCTGTTTGTTAACAGAAACAAAGATAATCAAAATTCTTACCAAATAAAGACGAGAAACAAGAAAAAAATTGTTCGATTGAAAATTCATACAATCGACTCTTATAGAACACTTAGTATATTGTTCAAAAAAGATACTTTTAAACACAATCAAACAAGAATCGGTATAATTCAAGCAATATATGGATACCTTCTGTTTCATCAATTTCAACTCCAAATTGTAAGCCTTCAATTTTTTGTAGTAATTCCTCACATTCTCTACTTCCTGACACCAAAAAGAGTCCCATTACCACATGATTTCTTGAAAAGATGAAACATTATAACAAAATGCGATACAAATATATCAAAACGATAAGATAAAATATGAGAAACTAAAAGATTATCAATTTAGTTAGTAGGAAATTACAAACTCACCCTTGTAAGCAAATCTCTGCGCTGAGTTAATCCTTCTATCATCTCCATATAATTCTGCAAATTCAACAAAAAATGGTGTAATTCACATACAATTCTTGAACTGCAAACTCGACAGAAGATAATATATAAAAGAGCCTAGAAACAGGGGAGCCATAAAAGGCTGAAAATAAGGAATTGGCCCAGATTTTAAAACTCCAAGAAAACAGAAACCCATAACGAAATTATACTAAAAACTAGAGAAAAAAAATATTTAAAATTTAAAATTAAAAAAAAAAAATTACCCTTTTCTTGGAATTCTTGGAAGAATACTTCGACTTTTCATCAGATTCACTTGGCGAGAAAGATAAAGGTGTTGTTGGACTTTTGGATGGCGGTTCAAGTTTGACTTGAGTTTGGATTTCAGTTTCAGTTCCATGAATGGAGGGCGAAGGTAATGAGGGTGCAGGAGCATGAGATGGATTAGATCTCCTCCTCTTACAACCCCAAGAAAGATTGTTTCTTGATTCTGATACAGGAACTGAATTTCCCAAATCCAGTAAAATTTCTGCCACTTCAATCTCTTCCTCTGTCCAACAAAAGTTGTTCTGTTTCATTGTGTTTTTTACCTTTCTTGATTTTCCCACTTCAATTCTACGAAGAGAAGCGGATAGCAATAATAAATAGACTTCGAGGCAGAAAGAGTTGTCTTGGAAGGGTTGGCTTAATAAGGGAAATCCATGGAGAAAGAATTGGCTGATGCCACGTGTCGAGAAAAAGTAGATACTGAGAGCTGTCTAGGGTTTATACAATGCTGATGGTCATAAATAATAAGGCAAAAATAAATTTTCAGGAAAAAAAAAAAAAAAGGTCAAAATGAAGAGCTCCGAATAAGGTAAGAAGTCTTGCCATTTTTTTTTCTCTATTTTTTATTTTCTAAACACCAAAAATATAAAAATTTGCTTCATTAATTTCTTGGTAATCAAGAAATTGGAGCTCTAAACGTGTAACGAATCATGATCGCGAGTTTCTTGTGTAGTAGTTGTGAATAAAAGTCAGGTGAGGATAATAAGGCCCTATTTTTTTCAAAATATATTTTTTTTTCTTTTCTTTTCAACCACACATTCTTTATTAAAATAATATTACACGTAAATCAAAAAAATTTCCTTATTTTTCAACCACACATTTTCCATCAATTTACTATTTAAAAATGCATTTTTACATAAAAATGTCTTCCAAATACCCTCTAAGATTTTATTAGAAATTAATTATATAACATTTTAAAATATATAATAAAAGTCAAATATTCTTAAAAATAAATTAAAACTATAACTAATTAAATTAAATTACAAAAAAAATGCAACTATTTTATAGATGTTCACAATTAATATTTAAAATACGAAGAAAATCAAATATAGACTCGCATGAAAACGTCATTTACGTGTTGAATTAGAACCCAAAATCAAAGTACACTTCTATTTCAGTTTATCTTTAAGATCAAATTTTTATAAATAATATTAATATGACAAACTTATGAACGCCGATTACTTGAATATCTTTGAAAATTAACACGGCCATAAATCATTTGAACAACTACAATACTATGAGTTCTACGTCACCGAATAATTCTTACAAATTAGTCAGAAATTCAAGAGGAAAAAAACATAATAGATGTTAAATTAAAAATAAAAAGCAAATAAGTTCTCTTAATAATGATCAAATGATAGAAAAAAAGTAGTTCATAAATATCACAAACGAAGGAATGTCAATGCTAATTTTCACAAAAGGCGACAGAGAAAAAGGATGATAACATTTGTTAACTTGGGGATTCTAACCTCAATTGTACATGTACACCGATTTCTTTTACATGCGGGAAATGTCATGAAGAGCATACATCTAACACTGTTCTTCTAATGTTTAACATTTTAAATTAAGCTACTTGTACTTTCATTTTGTACATCTTGATTGATATTTAGGGATGACAATAAAACTCGTCTCGCCCCAGATAGGGCAAAAAAACCCACCCCAAATGGATTGGTGCGGCGGGACAGGGCGGGGCATCGTGGGGCTGGTTAAAGGGAAAAAAAACATATTAAAAATAATTTTATTTATAAAAAATTCACCCCGTTAAAAACTAATTTTGAATTTGCATTTTATTCTCTAATAATAATATAATTCGAAAATTTGAAAATGTAAAAATTAAACGGGGCAAAAAGTTGCCCGCCCCATCTAAGGCGGGGGCGGGATGTGGGACAGGGCGAAGTTTGGGGGAAATGGGGTGGGGGCACCCCTCCCCGTTGCCATCATTATTGACATTCCATGATGTCTAAAAAATTTGGCCATTGATTTGTAAGTGTAGCAAAATTGTACCTTTTTTTATTTTTCGAGTTTTGTTTTGGGCTTTGATTCAAACTTAAACTTAGCACAAGTGTCCAACATTATAAACTATTTTTAGTGTTTTATTCACTAAAAATAATGCTGATAGGTCCATGATGAAAGAAAAATAAAAGATCATCATAGTCAGTAAATCACTTAGAATTGTTAGAATCCAGCAACGTGATCGTATTATACAATCATTTTGAAATCATAGAATTGTAGGATCGTAACGTTTAGATCTAGAGCTCAACAACCATTATATAACTTTCGACGATGGGGCTTGGTGGTTGTGCCGTCTGCTTTGTTATTTTGGCTCAAGCATTTTTTATTTAAGTTATTTGTTGGGATTTTGACTATATTCGATGCTTGAAGTATGAGAGTTAATTGTTTTAATGGTTACTGAACTTAGGTTCATGTCTTCAATTATCCACTGAACTTTAAAATGTTGAGTTTTGATCAATGAATTTTGAAAAATGTCGAGTTTTGGTCACTGAACTTAGGTCCATGTTTTTTATTGGCCACTGAACTTTAAAATGTTGAGTTTTGGCCACTGAACTTTGAAAAATGTCAAATTTTGGTCACTGAACTTAGGTCCATGTCTTCGATTGCTCATTCAAGTTTCAATGTCGAGTTTTAATCACTGAACTTTGAAATATGTCGTACATTACTCACTAGCATAACGGTTGAACTTTGAAAAATATCAAGTTTATGGTGAATAATGTACAATATTTTTCAATGTTTAGTGAGTAATATACAACATTTTTCAAAGTTCAATGACCAAAATTCAACATTTTAAACTTTAATGAGTAATCGAAGACATTGACCTAAATTCAATGACCAAAACTCAACATTTTTTAAAGTTTTAGTGGCCAAAACTCAATATTTTAAATTTCAGTGGTCAATCAAAGACATGGACCTAAGTTTAGTGACCAAAACTTGACATTTCAAAGTTTAGTAGTCAATAAAAAACATGAACCTAAATTCAGTGACTATTGAAACAATTAACTCTGAAGTATGATGTTGTACAATTAATCCCTTTTACATATGTTGGACACTTTCAATATAGTTAAACTTGGTGGTGATCGCCAAGGTTTACCATGATAAAGATTCCATGATGGCCAGATTTACCACTTAGTAATAGTTACAAGTCAATTTAATACATGCAATAGGATTGAACAATGAAATCGTCGCATTGGAAATTGAATCTAAATCTTTTTTTATTTTTGAATCCTTGTTTGGATCCATGTGAATCGTCAACGTTTTGATTTTGAATCGAACCAAACTGCTTAGAAGGGTTTGGTTTGGATTTCAATATTTGCAAATTGTTTAAAATTGTCCAAATGTTTATACCCAAATAAAAAATAATAATAAATAAAAAATTGAAATAAATTCGTTTAAATTTTTATCCAACCCAATTAAAACTAAGCGCATCTTAATTAAAAAGATACATCCACATTATTCGTCTTTATTTATTAATTAATTAATTAGAATATGCCCAAATATCCATTAATTATTTACAATTACTCGTCTTATTTAATTAATTATTAATATATACCCAAATATTCATTAGTCATCACAATTATAAATGCAAAAACTTCAAATTGGCTATAATGCCAAATTATTGTTGTCCAACCATAATCATCTGCTGGAACGTTTTATGCATAATAAAAAGTATATATAAATTTAGAGATTGATTTTTCTAAACACTTTGATAATGATATTTGTTTTGGTTCTTCATTCTTTTGGGGATAGTTTCATCAAATGTTCCAAACCTTTAAAATACTAGCAGATTTTTTTCAAATCTTTGTTTTGTTGCAACTGTCACCCCATAATTTTCAAATGTTGCGAGTAAAGCTTTTTTGGACGATTTTCATCCACAATTTCGTCAATTGATTAAAAAATTAACTTTAACCGCATTTTTAATATATTAAAAAGGGACAAAAGACTAACTTTCTATTTATCATATTAAATAATTAAATTAGATAGCCATCCTACAACCTCCACCACCCAACCCCAAATCTGAAGTGCACTCTTTCCCACCCTAGAAAATGATAAGGTTGAAAATTATCCATTACACAAAGCTACAATAAACAGGAAAATTGGACAAAAGCTCTCAAATACACACTTTGCAATTTGAAATGGTCTCTCTTCTGGTTCTTAATGCATTGGTCTTGTCTGGCACTAAAGCATTAGCCATCATGCTCAGGCACACATAATTGTGAGTTTATTGCATTTCAAGTCTTTCTTCTTTTCCATTAATATATATTAGTTCATTTTTTCAGGGAGTTTGGAAGGGGTGTACAATCCTAAGTCCTAACTCTTCATATGATTGTAAATTTTTGCATTTTTGGGGTTGGATGGTGGCGATTGTGATGGGATAGATTAGGGGTGGGCGCGGGTCGGTTCGGTTCGGTTCTCTTTAGAACCGAACCGAACCAAACTTTTCGGGTATCTAGTAAATGGAACCGTCGGGTCCAAATATAATTATGGAACCGTTCGGGTTCGGTTCCATTCGGTTCGGTTCGGATCGGTTCGGATCCGTGCGGTTCTGTACTATAATTAAATTTTTTTAACATTTATAACAACGTTATATAAATACGACTAATGATACATTCAATAGTTTTGGAATGTCAGAGATTAGTAAACTACATTGTTCAAATGATCGTTACGATCAAAGTTTCAGTCGGGGAAAGTCACGGCTTAGATCGGAGGTCAGAGTGTGGGTCGACGATTGTATAGATTTTGGAATATTAGATAGGCTGCAAGAGTGAGTGCGAGAGTCGAGACAACGTTATGTACTTTATTGTAGGTGTTTAGGGTTATTTAGTGGATTTGATCTTGTTTGGCTAAGAAATGAAATAATAAAATGGGTAATTGGGCCAAAAATTAAAAAATTAGAAATGAAACAAATTATTGGGCCAAAAATTTGGATTTAGAAATCATTAATTTGTTAATTTGTTTAGAAAAAATTAAAATTAAAATAATTTGATTTACTCAATATAAAAAAAAAATTAGAAAGATTCGGTTCTTATTCGGTTCTTCGGTTCTTGGTCTAGAACCGAGAATCGAACCGTACCCGTCGGTTCTCAATTCAGATACCCGTTCGGGTATTTAATTTGATAAGAACCGTCGGGTTCGGATCGGTTCGGTTCGGGTTCGATCGGTTCGGTTCGGGAGATTTGCCCAGCCCTAGGATAGATGATGGTGGCCAATAGCATGTCGTTGGAGGAGGTGGAGGTGACGGTGGTCGAATGACTGATTTTGGGATTGAGGGGATGGGGTGAGAGGAAGAAGATGATTGTGTGTGTGTGTGTGTTTTCCCCCCCTTTCTTCTTCTTCTTCTTCTTTTTTTAATATAATTTATCTAATTTAATTATTTAATGTGATAAATAGAAATTTACTCTTTTG